CTTCATCTATCAGATACTACTGTCTTACTTTTAACATATCGCTGCAGAAATTGATAACTGGTGTTGAATACAGAGCTACGGATACGGTGGTTTTGCAGTCCTATGTATTACGGAGCTGAATGATAAATGGAGAACAGCAGCTGGGCTGAGAAGCTCGAGACATCGCTAGGAAATAACAGCACATGCAAGGCTGAAAAAAATTACATTTGTAGGTAAGCGGAATGGAAATTTATACTTATTGGGGAAAAAAAAAAATAAGGCAAAACGTTGTTCGTGTTATTAAAGGCGGAGTGAGAGATAGCAAGAGCAACGGAGAGAAGCAATTTTCTTTCCACTCCAACAGGAATTCATCTCAAGCTCTAACACGCAATTCCCCTATGGAGCTGCAGGACAAAACAGATTATGCCCAATTGTTTTGAGGGTTTGGATAGCAAAGCATAAAAATCCCAGTAAGTAGCCTTTTGTGTCAGTGCAGACCAGAAAAAGATTTCTATTAGGAAAAGTTACAAAAACATCCAAAAACTCTAATAAATATCAAACTAACTACCTACCACACGCAAAAAAAATAGCTTTAGATATTTGATATTTTCCGAGGCACCTCTAAAATTACAAACCGTCTCAGAGGAAAACTGACCCAGCTCATCAAGTTTGCCAACGCAACGCTAAGCCGCGTGAATACGCCACACCTTCTTATTTTACCTTTTCTGGCAATAAAATTTGACAATGGAAAGCCATGAGTGCTGCGAGAGTATGGGAGGGAGGACAATTAAATTTGTCCTCGTTTGAATGTTAAATAGGCTGCTGTGATTGTACTCTGTATATTTAACGTCGTGGTGTAGAGCTGAACAGTGAGCCCTTTCCAAAGGACAAATTAATAGATCTTTAGAAACGGGAAAATGTGTTGTTTCAGTCATACCTGCTCACAGCAGGTACATTTTGGAATAGACTTAGGCTTTAGAAATATTAATACTTCCTGGTTTTCAGCATTTTAGCTTTCCAAAGTAACAAAACCAGTTACATGATATGCAATTAGCCACGATTAGCTTTCGCTATATTTATGGCCAAAAAACCCCATCCAGATCCTCTGAGTGGTAAACTCCAAGTTGGTAAAACTCCGTTTTGGAGAAGGCTTATCACAAACCCCTTCAACACCGCCCAGCACTGAATCAACAAGCCATAGTCCCCCCCAAAAAAGATGGGGAAATGCAGGAGAGCTCACGGGCTGCGGAGCCGGGGAGAGGCGAGGTTCGGTTTTAACACACGGGCGTCCGTCACCTCACTCGGTACGTTACCACCAAGCTGCGTGTGCAGACAGCATCGTCTTGGCTATGCTGAGCCAACAGCCCTGCCGGACCCCAATCCGCCCCGGGCAAAGCCAGCCCGCCTGTCCAGGACCCCGATAAACCATCGCAGCCAGCCCTACAGCTTCTTCATGCTTCTTCAGCTCCGTGAGTACCACCACGCTCATGAGCTTCTACGCACAACCACATCTCATTGGAAAATGAGCACAATTGCCACGGTTTTTCATATGTATATCTATATTCCAACAGTTGTGATTAAAAAACGTAGGTAGTCTTGAAAACCAGTATAAATTACTTCTTCCTCTCATCTATCTACTAGTTCTTTACAGACCTGACTCAAACGTCCCTGGTTTAGCGGAGCAGCTATTAAAGCGCGCGGTGCAGAGTGCCAGCATGCAGCGTAACCCCAGGTCTCCAGCACCTCATCCTGCTATGTCCCATTCCCATCGACAGGCTACGAGGACGTGTCACTGTCAGCTCAAGGTTCTCCCCACCAAGGGGAACGTGACTGGCCTGATGTGCCTGGGAAGGTGATGGGAGCGAGAGGTACCAGGACAGAAACCAGGACCAGAGAGATCCCAGCAGCAAGCGGAGAAACGCAGAAACAACCTGGGTAAAGAAGTGAATCAGGCTGATGGATACGAAGGAACGTCAGGAAAATAATAAGTGACTTTGATAGTCTGAAACAAGCTTGGCTTTTTTTATCTTTTTTTTTTTTTCCCCCCCTCCCTGTTGAGCCTACGTTATAATTCAAGGAGCCCTTTGATTCTGCCAGAAAACATCTTCACATGGAGCATCTCCTGTTCCACCTGGCATGCAGCCCCAGCACAGGGGGGTTGTCAATACATCTGAGGAGCAGTTCTGCTTTACAATGTCAGCCTTGCTCAAGTCTTGAGCCCTGCTTAAGCCTTAGGTTGAAGCTGAGAAGATGGTGATTCCCTGACAGAGCGTCCTCTCTCCCAGGGATACCCACACTCGTACCAGCCCGGCTCCAGCTCTCTCCTTAAACAGAGTGAAAGCCTGGGACCCCGACACACAGGACCCCTGTACAAAATGACAATTCACCTGGTGTCTGCCATGCCCTCCTGTTCTCTTCATCTACGGTTTGTTTTTTTTTCCCCTGACTCAGAAATATTGCAACACCAAAGGCAGAGATGGCACCACATCAAAGAGCCTAAGTTATAAGGGAAGCGGTTTTATTTTCACTTGAGCTTTTTTTTTTTTTTTTTAAGTGAGACCTCAAAATACCTTAAAAAAGGAACAGCGATGGTAATGGGACTGAAAAATTCCATGGCATCTGAATAACGTAATTCAAGCACAAGTATCAGGGGATAAGATAACCCACACCGCAGCAGTTCCCAGGGAACCGACTCTAATGACATTCAGATTTTACATCTCATCCGGGCTGCATTTCTGAAGGAGATGTGAATTAGCAGCCCTGTGACAATAAAGAAACGTGGGATTAAGAAACAAGAGAGGAGGGAAAAGGGCCAGTTGATTCTCCCACCGCCTTTTCTTGTTCCTAAAATTTCTGTTGCCTGGAAATGGCTGATGAGAAGACGGGATTATGTAAGTGCCTGCCAACTTTTCACACGTTAAGAAAACTAAAGCCTGACTGATGGGTAGCTTAACCCATCCTCTAAGCAGCGAACTAAAACATGTTTACTAAGGAGAACTGGAACAGTGAAACCCCTTTAAAAAAACCAGGAGTGACGAGGACTTGACAATTCCCAGGATTAAAAAGCTGCATACATTACAGACAATGTAATCTCCTTATAGTAAGATGAGGAAAAGGAAAATAAAGCCTTTTTGGTGTGCAAGATGGGTTTTTTGTTTTAAAGTATATATATCCTGTCTGACTGAAGACTTTCTTGGGCTACTGTCTTTTTTTTTTTTTTTTCTTCTCCTGATAGACATGACAGAGAGGAGAGCTACACCAGCCCTCCAACTCCATATAAAGTTACACTTTCCAACAAACCCACTCTGCTGCCACCAAACACGACCCGGCAATAATAAAACAATAAGCACCGTGCCGTAGAAATGTCCTAAATTTTGTCAGGCTAACACTTAGGTGCTACAAGAAAGCAGGTACTAACCGAAGTGCAAAATATCTCTGTCCAGTTTTGAATCTAAGCTTTCCTGAACTCTTCCTCGTCATCATTCAAGTGGCATGTTACCTTCTGCAAATACTAATTTAAATACAGCTGAAGGCTAGTTTAAAATTTAACCTGCTAGATTTTTTCCATTTTTTATCACCCCCCCCCCCCCAAAAAAAAAATCTGAGGATTGCGCTCATTTTTCCTTTTTCTCTGCTTACCGACAAAGCCCTGAGGTCTCTAAAACGAGCAAAAAATTCTTGCAGTCAGGTTTCTTCCAGTTCAAACAAACGTGCTTACGTTGGCAATAATGCTGAATGCGCTGCGGCTGCTGCTAGGAAAGGTGATGTTCTCAGCAATGTTTCTGAGACCCTAAAAAACCTCAAAATCCTGCTGCAAGCTGAAGTTGCACCATCCACGGGAGCATCAGCAATGCAAAATTGCAGGCGGCAACTACCCAATGTGGAGACTGAAGAAGAAATTGTGTTGCGTGCTGCTCAACCGCCGCTTGAGCGATGAGGTTAGGACAGCAAAATAAGCTCTGTTATTTACTACAGCAAGGCACATGTAGCTGTGTAACGCAAGTACGAGCGTCTAGAAGAGGGAATATAAAGTATCCAGGTTGCCTGGAGCTCTCTTACATCTTCAGGAAAAGAAAAAAAATCCCCAAAAGTGGATTTTTGTACAGCTGCCCAGTGATGGCAACAGGCAAATCCTCAGCTGGTGATAATAGTTACGGTTCCACTGAAATCTGCCCTTTGCAGATGTTCCCCCTTTGCTCTTACTGACGGAGAGAAAAAAAAACCACAATCCTACGTGGAAAAAAGCTGCAATGAATGAGTGGAACCAGATGTGAAATTTCGCACCCAACTATTATAATTGTGGGATGCCTTCAAAAAGTTAAACTGGGCAAAGCCCCAGTCAGCCAATTACAAAATCAACATTCCTTCAGCTTTAGAAGAGAAGGAACGACTTCTCAGAAATGCCGGAACTGACTCAACTGTGATTTTTAAGCCGCTTCAACAGTATCCTAGTTATTTCACGTAGTACTAAGACTTTACCTGTGATTTCCTTCCCGTAAGTGGAACTACGAGCCGGCAAGGTGCTCAAATCAGGAGAAAAAGAAACACACACAAACCGATTCTTGTGACTTCTGTGTTATGAACATATTGCTTTTGGTGCTATTACGAAGTGCCTTCCCTGTGAATTGTAAAATATGTAAAACCAGGAAGCACAGAGCAAATAATATCTACATAAGTAGGTCATTTTCTTAATGGCAGCGCACTGCCGGTTTACTACAACTCATTTGCAATACAGACCAATACATTTCCAAGCGCGTATATTCAGATCTGCAAAGCAGGTGAGTGGGTATAATCGTGGAAGCAGTCGCTCCAAGATTAAGTAGAGCCTAATTCAGAAAGACAAGCAGGAAAAAGTCATGTTTTGCACCTTCTATGTCAGCTTCGCAGAGAGTTATGACATTTTCGGGGAAAATCCTCTTGCCGCGTATAAGCCGTAGTTTGAATGTGCTGCACGTTGCATATTTCATTACAAAAGCAGAGCCACGTTATTTCATTAGATAAGCGATAAGTTCAATCCTTACCAAGTTTTCTTGGTTCCTGGCTGCTATTTTCTGATCATCTTCTCCCCCATTTTTCATGTATTTGACCTCTTCCACTGGTTTGATCCTATACTCATCTGAGCACCAAGAAAAAAAAAAAAAAAAGAAAAAAAATTTTGAACCAGTGTAGTTCAGCAGCTAGGAAAAAAAAAAAACCAAGCTAAGACCAAAACAGCTGACTAGAAAAGACCCTAATTAAGCAAAGCATCTAAAAATTACATGTATATAGTTTCAAAGGCTCAAATGTGACTGATACCAAGGAAGTTTTTCCTGATAGAAGCTTCAGTAAGAATTTCCAGTTCCGGCTTCCAGAAATCGTTCAGTAGCTCTCTGGTCTAGTACAGCCGCGGCACCCGGAACAGGGGACGTTTGGTACGTACTCTCCTCCGAATCCCTAGTTTTCTGTACAATATGTTTAATACCAATACGTTCTTTGCTCCTGCATCCTCCCTGGATTTTTATTATCAGTGGGCAAACGAGCGATGTACAGTAGTTATACACAGAGGAGTCTACTTATGGATGTTCCCCGCACTGAAAAAAACCCTTTAGAAAAACAATGCTGATGGAGGATATTTAAAATTGAAGTTAAAAGCTAGGGAAAAAACCCCAAACACCACACCAAAACCCACTGCTTTTTTTAATTATTATTATTTTGTTTTTCCCGCACTGTTTTAACAGAGCTAAAGCAAGAGGTACACAATGCACAGTCATACAGTGATTTCTGGAGAAAACGCCCCGTTCCGAGCATCTTCCTCTCCCCACTTCCCCCCCACGACCATTTTTCCTGCACATGAATGTTACCCAGATAGAAAGCCAATGTGAAAATAAGTAATAACAAAAATAAGAGTCCTGGTTTGCCCTTAATATGTATCAGCTAGGCGTTTCAGCTCTTCAAATAACAAATTCCCAGCTCCAGTGGCAGGATGGAAATATTATCTATTA